TGCCTCTGTACCAGGACCCTTCAGAGATCCATAAACAAGTTACTTAAATACTTCAGGATACGTTGTCCTAAAATATGAATATAAAAGGATTTGGAATAATGGTACATCTTGTTCGACATCATGCCTCTAGCTGTTGTCAGTACAAACAATGGTGCAAGGTGTACTTCAGAGGTAAACAATGGAAAAGTTTATTCCCAAAATGTCCATCATCCAGGTTAATGTATGTCCTCAGACAAGTTTCTTTAACTGAGTCTTACAACTCCTTAAACAATTTTATGTTGTAGTTCAGGATGTTCTTGCAAAATGCAGTTAACATGATAGTTTTAAACTCATAGGCATGTCAGCCAAACCTCAAACCTGTTGTATCAAGCACTGAACAAAATGCTACGAGACTACTGTCCCTACCCCAGAAAAATTAGTCTAAGTAGACTCACATGGATAACCTCATTAGCTCAATTACATTGGTTCGCTTCTCCCTGCCATTCATTGCTTTTGTTTTTGCACCACAGTGCAGTGAAGAGACGTTTGATGGATGAGTATCAGTAATTACTGGCCTTCCAGAAATGGTGAGATGCCAGGTCAAAAATGAAAGATTTTTGACCTGAAAAGGATAGACAGCCTGGTTTAGTAAAATTAGGTGGTCAGCTCATGCATATAGCAGTGCACAAGTAAGTGTAAAGGCAGGAAAGGAGAGAGTACTAAATCTAGCAGGACTGCCAAAAAAAGGACCATAGGCTACAGAAAGGTTCAGGAGGTCAGGTTCAAGAGGGCATATGTTTCATTGACATGGAGTAAATATGACATGAAAGGCTCAATCACAATGAAGTGTTACAAGGGAATAAAGAAAAGTATAGGAAGAATTAGGGGAGGAAAATGAAAGATAGGAGATCAGTCTTTTCCGCAGTGTCTTAAGGGAGCACTGCCTTGGACTCTTTAGGTCTAGACATTAGGCTCATGTTTTCACTTCATCCATACACATCAGTCTTCTAGTATGGTAGAGTGAAGAACACGCCACCTTTACTTCCTCACAGATCCCTCAGTGTTGAGCTTTTTGTTTTCCTGCCCCATTGCAGAAATGCATTTTTATTTAAGCTGAAGCAATAAGCTTTATTTTTCAACTTTTATTATTACCACTTCCACTTTTGTGGCAAAATACTTAAGCCCAATATAAACATCCAAATGCGAAGGCAATGCTGGTCATAGCTCCCATAATTACATTAAGCCTTGATCTAGATCAAGGTCTCACTGTGCACTCAGCACTCTATGAGCATTGCAGAAGAGAAGATTTTTTTTACCCTGGGCGTAGGGTAAGAAAGCTTACAGATGAGCAGTGATAAGCAATGTTAGAAAATACACTCATTTTTGTCTTGTCAGAGAAGTATTGCACATGAGATCAAGAAACTAGGAGGAAAAAGTCTGAGAGAACATATACAGACAACTTATCCTGCTTTTATCCATTCCACTTCACAGAATTTGCTGTTTTTCACTCTATTCTGGGCTGTTCATGATGCTTTTATTTTTCCTCCAGTTTCATGCCAATATTTCATTAGACCTCTAACAAAGCTAAACTAAAATACCACAGGTACCGTAACAGGGTTCTAAGCAGTCCGATGCTTCTGTGAAGTTTTGAGTTATTGCCAGCCTGATGTTTCTCCCTCTGAGGTAAAAGACCAGCTGTATCCCAGAGAGGAAATCCAAGGACTCTGCCCTAAACCACGATTCTCAAGATTATTCCCACAGACAGGAGTAAGTCAATTGGAAATAGCTTTGAGTAAACATCTCTTTAGTAGTCTGCAGGATCAAAGATTTTTCTTAAAGCTAGGTGTCAAACGATCCTACTTTCCATAGTTCTTTTTAAATATATATTTTTATTTCAACAGAAATTGAGGGATTCTTGAGCTTTCCAGCCACTCCAAAAGTCCTTCTAGGAACAGTTACAGTTCCTTAAATTGACATCATCCCAAATCATTTATTAATAATGCTGCTTTTGTTACCACCTAGGCCCCAAACTGCACAGAAGATTTCAGAGAGCTCTTAAGGTAAAATCTACACAAAAGTCTTCTTTATTTATAAATATACATGCATTCTGACACAGCTGCTTTGTTCCTTCAATGAGGATCTGCTCCAGCTGCATCCTAGAACTCTTGATACTCCAGTTGGTGTAGCTTGAAACACTATGCCAGCATAGCACTCATACCTTCAGAGGAAGGTATACAGAGAAGAGACAGAATACCTTGTTCATGATGTAGACTATTCTTTATGCAAAAAATTAGCGCAAAGAATACCTTACGCTTGAAAGAGATATAGCATTACTTAAAAATTCCTTTAGTTATACACATGTTGTGTGCTATTCATATTCTTTGCTGATTACTCTTAATTCCATATTCTGTTCTGGTCCTAGGATGAAACTGAATGCAGAGAAAAGAGCTTCTTGAAATATTTATAATGGATGAAGGCAATTTTTGGAGAACACTGTTTTAGACTCTTCTTGATAAAGCTAATCTGTATATAAATGTTGCACTACAGAGTGCAACAGTTTAAGAAATAGTTACAGTGGTAAAGCAGTAAAGGCTCAGATTGTAGCAAAAAGCAAATAAAGCTGCAGTTCAGAATTTAATAAAGTATTGGAGAGAAACTGCTTCAACATAATGAAACTTAGGGTTCAGATATGGAGACATCATTGAGGGGAATTTAGCTTCAGTAACAATTGCAGTTCTGAACACATATGCATTTGTTGATTTCAGATGGAACAAAATCCTCTTATGCTGCAAAATGCAATAAATATTTGACCCAGGTCAGTAGGGTGTATATGTACAAAGTTTCTACAAAAATTATTATGGGAGTCCTGGTTCACTATAACTTCAAAAGCTGCTGAATGCAAGAGTATTTTTAAATTGTTATTTAATGACTAACACCGAGATACTGAAGTTTTTGATATCTATGTAACTTCTGTTATGTAACTGGTTACAAGACTGTTTCAGAACAATCTAAAATGGTTTCTCATTGTTTAATTGTATTATTTACCCAGGACATCCTGATATTTGCTTTATAGAAGCGTTTGTCTAATGACTACATGGAAACACATTCAATCTTGCTTTCTTCTATTAAAATAATTTCTTAGTAAAACCTCAAATATAGGATGCTTCTGAACTCTTTTGCATTCTTGAGCATAACTAGTTTCTACATACAGACATAACTGGACTATTCCATATTAGTTATCTCAACAGTTTATGGCTTCTGCATTGTTTCTGCTGCAAGAAGAGGTATCCACAGAAATGGGGTTTATATTGTTACCTCATTTATCATCCCAAAACAGATAAAATGAGTTTGACGTACTAAACCACCTACTTGGTTCATTATTTTTAAACGCTAAGGGTACAGTTTCTTGTCTTGCATAAGATTACCCCCACTGACATCACTAGACAACTCATAAATTTGCATCAGTTAGAAACGATAAGAATCCAGCTCAGGGAAATCAGTTGCAGATCTTGAAAGACTGAACAAGAGCTGTCATAACACCTCATTATCCACTATTTATTTAACAAACTTATTAGTTTTTTTTGTTGGAGGATCTATGTTTAAATCAAAATCCACAGCAAGTCTGGCTAGAGCAAATACAAATTGTTTGACACTACACCTAGGCTATTTTTGGAAACATGATATAACATGATATAACCAGATGAATCGAGCATATAATTTGCTTAGTTTGCCCTTACCATCTCCCCTTAGGACATGTAGAACACCCTGCTTCCTAAAGCAAAAAAAAAAAAAAGAAATGCATCCACCGAAACACGTAGCCTATTTGCTGTGAATATGAGTTAGTCAAGCGCTGCGTGGGCAGCCTGGTGACATTACCCTGTAGATCCACAGGAACACAAGTGGTGCACTGCTGAGGCAGCACACTTACTGTAACTATGCTAGGGGTGTCACATAGCTACTTCTCTGTCCTTTCCTTCTCTCCTACAGAATAAGCACATACTGTCAGCAAGGATGGAAGAAAAAAGGAGGAGAATAAAGTACAAAGGACTGCAGTTGTCATATTCTGTAACCACATTTTTCCATAACATTAGGACTCAAAGACACCATGGAGGAGAGGGAATAGGCTATGCAGCCATAGATATTCATTCCACATAGCCCAGAGCATGCAGACAATAACTAGAGGAAACTGGAGGTTGGAGAATAAGAGCTATTGCGCCCCTTGTTTCCTTCCTTCAGTAGCTTAACATGTTAACAATACACAGACCCTTACTAAGACTTGTATCTTAAAATGGAGTGATTCCTAAATGAGAGATGAAGTTTACATTGCCCCTAACAGCCTGCAAGTCTGATCAACTTCTTTTTACAAACAACGATGACTACAGAAGCTTTCTCTTCTGAACTGGGAGCTTCACAGGCAGTTAGGGTTTCAGTTATGTATTTTCTGATATGTTTTTAAACCTTGCAATTTCTCTGAAAGTATGTGCATGTGTCAATGTGTTATGTCTGTAATACATTTAGCTACACTAACACCTTTGGAGGTAAAATACATGCATATGTCCGCAGCTGCTACTAGTCCAGACATCCCTGACTGGTACAGATCTCTGTCTTTGATGCCATCCCTACAACCAAACAAGGCCTATTCACATATGCATATATTTCAATTCATCTCTTTCATTCTCCATTGCTATAAATGCCCTTTACCCTTATGCACAGCTGGTTACCGCATGGCATTCATTCTACTTAGAGAGTGGAAAACCTCTTGAAGAATATAAGGCCATTCAGAACTGCTCCCTAGGGTGGCTATAAGCTAAACCCCCAAATTCAGCTTTCTTTCCTGTGAGATAATTCCGAGATAATCCCAGGAGAATTTCAGATACTGCCAGCAATGTGTGAGCCAGTTAGCCTTGTTTCCAGAATCCTCACTTAGCAGCACGTCATATTTTTCCTCAGCTTTTCGATCATTTCTAAAACATATTTTTAATACAAATAATTATAATGAAATGGTCTTAATGAAACCTTACCTTATTTCCTGCCAAAATGTAATCTGAAGTGTATTCTGCAAATTCTGCTTGTGTTCAGTAGTAACGTTTCTATACAGACTACACTTACATGAGAGTCAGAGTGTCTGGGTTTTTTGCTCTAGGCACCGTTTTCAGTCACATGAACTGGGAACAGCTTGATTCAGATGTTAACAGCCACTGACATTTGCAGGAACTTTGTTTAAATGGTATCATACATGCCTTGAGAAATTTCAGTGCATAAAAGGCTTCTCACAAAAGTTATTGAAAATATGGTATGCATGATATTTGTGAAGAACAGTAACATAATTTAAGTGTTCATGGTAATATGATATATAGCTATACGGCACATTACAGAGCAACCCAGATTGAATTAAATTCTGCCCTGACTTTCATGTCTTTGTAACTTCACTGAAGTAGGACTTGTGTGCAAATCAGGGAAGAATCTGACTTTTTGACTGCAAATGGATGTGGGAATTTGAGAAATTAAATGGAATAAGTTCTGCCTTTTGGTTATAAAAGTGACAAATTAGAATAAAACTGGCATCTAAAGTTACAGTAAATTCCCTTCCCCCTTATCATTTATTTAAAACATTTTTCAGTTTCATATGGGAATTTGTTGTTATTGTCTTAAACTTGAAGGTCTCCATCAAACTTGCAGCATTTTTGTAAAAAAATAAAAAAATAAAAAAATTGTAGTTTACATTTCACAGAACTGCAGTGATGGAGAAGCTCTGAGAAGGTAGATCTGGCTTGTTCAAATTCATTTCAGTCTCTGAGGATGTCTCATATTCAGAAGGTGACCTCAAGGGGAAAAACTATGTCCCTGAGTCAATGTATTACAGGATAAGAGGTACCTGGGTCTGACAGACTCTTACTCTTCTCTGTGTAAACTGAAGTAAAATGGACTATTTTAACCCTTCCTCCCACCTGAAGATGATTCGTTTTTGCACTCTGTGGTCCTTTAAAGTCAAGAAAAAAAAAAATGAAGACGTCAGGAAGCCTATTCAGAAATGTCCAAATGATTTCCCTCATGTCAGGGGGGTGGGGGTGGGGGGGAAGAGAGAGAGAGGGAGGGAGGGAAGGAAGGGAAAAAAAAAAAAAGCAACAACACTCAAACCCAGTTAAATTTAGATAGATTAAAGCTACACATACACATTATTCCTTCAAAACCTTTGCACTATTCTAGAAGCAGAACTGGGAGTGCAGGGAAGGGGCTTGAGGGAGGTGGGACAGAAAAAAAAACTATATTCTTTCCCCTTTCCCCATTAGCATGGTTCCCACAGGGCTTGCATCTTCAGCTAGGGAGATAACCAAATAACAGGCAGACCAAGTTTGTGTGCTACACATAGGACATACAGAACTTGGTAGGTGTGCAGTGGCACTGCATAGTCATTGTAACACAGCTAGTAAATATGTGCAATCTAATGCATACTTTGTTAGAGTGGTCTATACACATTTGGTGGATGTTTGACTCCCTGATTATGGGAAGGTCACTTATATCATGCTTGTAGATTAAGTCTATCCAACATTTTTCAGAAATGGGCTAATTGTGCGTTTTGAAGGAACAGTAATAGAATCACAGAATAGTTGAGGTTGGAAGGAACTTCTGGAGACTGTCTGGTGCAACTCCCCTGCTCAAGCAGTGTCACCTAGAGCACATTGCCCAGGATCGTATCCAGATGGCTTTTGAACATCTGCAAGGATGAAGATATCACATTTTCTCCGAGCAACATGTTCCAACATTCAAGTAGCCTCACAGTACAGAGGTAGTTTCTTACGTTCAAGTGGAATTGCCTGTGTTTTGGTTCGTGCCCATTGCCTCTTATCCTGTCACTGGGTACCACTGAGAAGTGTGTGGCCCAGACCTCTTTACACCCTCCCTTCAGATATTCATATACATTGATAAGATGTTGTCAATGTTGTCATCCCCAGGCTGAACAGTCCCAACTCTTTCAGCCTTTCCTTGTATGAGATGCTCCAGTCCCTTAATCATCTTTGTGGCCCTTCACTAGACTTGCTCCAGTAAATCCATGTCTTTCTTTTACTGGGAAGCCCTTAACTGAACACAGCACTCCAGATGTGGCCTCACCAGTGAGGAGGTACACATCTCTGGAGTGGGGAGGGGAAGAATCACCTCCCTCAACCTGCTGGTTGTGCTCTTCCTAAGGCAGCCCAGGATTCCACTGGTCTTTGCCTCAAAAACACATTGCTGGCCCATGTTCAACTTGTCCACCAGGACCCCCAGTTCCCTCTCTGAAAAGCTGCTTTCCAGCTGGCTGGTCCCAGCTGGAACTGGTGCAAGTGTTTATTCCTCCCCAGGTAAAGGACTTGGTGCTTCCTACTGTTGAGTGTTACGAGGTTCCTCTCTGCTCGTTTCTCCAGTCTGTTGAAGTTCCTCTGAATGGCAGCACAACCCTCTAGTGTATCACTCACTCCTCCCAACCTGCAAACCTGCTGATGGTGCATTCAGTCTCATCATCCAGGTCACTAATGAGGATGTAAAATAGTACTGGACCCACTGGGTAACTCCTGGGGAATGCTCCTAGTGACTAACCTCTAGTTAGATCACAAGCCTCTAAGCCTGACAGTTCAAGTCAATTTTCTCTACCAAGCAGTTGTTGGTCCTTGAAGAGGGCCCCATGGTCATAAAAAACAAACTCCTGTTGTTGTCACCAGCTGTGCAACCAATTTTTGGCCTGCAGGATCCAATTCAGTCATCCTCAGGGCATTTCTCGTCATCATCAGGATGAAGAAGAACCCCACCTGGGACCATTATTCTGTACTAACCACGTAGTCACACTTAATATGTTCAGTATCAAAGGAAAGAGGCAAAGTCATTTACCAAGATATACTCTTAGCTGGATTGTTTTGAACAGAATTTAGTGATCAGGTCCCTCAAAGATGAGTTCGTATCAGGAAACTTACCTTTGTATTTGTTAGACTAAATGAGCATGTGCTGCACAGCCACAGTGCTCATGTTCCACAGGTGTGGCCAGCACATGCAGTAAGTACTGTTTCAGTAAGAGCAGCTATCCTTCTGCTGTAGCATCCACACTGATAGATCTATCTGATACCTACAGATATTTGAGAGAGATGTAGTCTTGTCATCTACTCTGAAATTATCTTGGAAGATGTAGCATGCTTGGAAAAAATCTAGATGCATCATAGCCCTAAATATACACCCCAAAAGCTAGAGATAATGAAGAAGTGAGTTCACATATCAATTTGATTCATATTGTTTGAAAGCATGAGAAGATATTACTATTTCTCTGTCATATTTTCAGTCTAGATTACAGTTAAAGCACTGAGTGTTCATTGAAAAGCTATAGTTTTAAGGTAACAGTTGAGTAATTCCATACCTCTGGAAGGAAGAATTCCAGAAGCCTTGAAACTCAGCCGAGGGAACTTCACAGGATCCATGCTCCATGCATGGAGATTACTTCCCCAGCTCACACTTCAAAGGATCAGACCTGAAGTAAATTACGTCACTGTTTTCTCCTCCCCTGCATTGACTACATCTTCATTATCAAGGTACTGAACTGGACAGCACAAATAACCTTCTGAAAACACTAAAATCCAAAACAAGAATATGATTTATCCAGATAAATTAGAAAAAACATACCGTTTACAGGAAAGCTGTCAAAATTTTGAGTGAAAGAGGAAACTTCAGTAAACTGAAAAATGTAGATGGGTTGATACTGACACAGAGGAAAAAAGCCAAAGATCACCATGCCTGAGGGGCTTTGCAGGATTAGTGATGAAGATACCATTTGAAATTATTTCATGAGGTCAACTCAAAGAGTAATAAATGATGCAAAGATATTTTGAGGAAGGAAGATGGTACAAGCAAGATAAGAAGCTACTGTAGAACTGCAGAATTCCTATAATTTTTATCTTTAAAAAGAGATTTTAACTTAATTCTTGTATAAAAGAACAAGATTGCTTAAAAAGAAATTGAATGGGAAAACTTTCTTTTGCATTCATTTTGGCTATAAAACAATCACAGCAGTATCTTAAACAGAGACTGAATATGCTCTAGCTCACCAGTCTCCAGAGCTCCTTCCACTTCACCTATCAGACTTTCTGTGGGATCTTCCTGAACTTATGATCCAGATTTCAACCCTCAAAGGAGGGCTATGCACTCACCATTTACTGTGTTACACATGTGGGTAGAATTTATGCCTCTGGCACCACATGAGCTTATTTAACTGCAGCTGCAAGTTAGAGTAATTGCTCCTGAACCTAACTATTTTCCCCCAATTATCACATCATTTTACCTGCTGATTACTTTCAATGTTGCAAGATTTCTGATCAAAATTGATGCTCTATCAGGAAACCTTCTCCTGTGAAAGTGTTTTTTTACAACTATATCTCCACACTTTCCAGTAAGTCAAGAGAGCAAAGGGGATTTTAATTTAATGTTTCTACCTGTCAGGGTAAAAAAAAAAACCCTCAGTGAAGTCACCAATCATTTATTAGTAGTATATAAAAAGCTGCAGTCACAGAAGAGCAAGAGGACATGTTTTTAACTGTTTTTTTATTTATTTATTTTTGTGCAGGATGAAAATAAAATCCCATTGTGCTTTTGTGAAATGTTAAAAAAAAGAAGAAGACAGTATGCATAAAAATTACTGCCATGCAGAAATTCATGCCTGTGGTGGAAGTATAAGGATTTTTTCCACTGTCCAAAGTAGTATCTAGAATGTAATGAAATAATATTAGTTGCTTTTTTTTTTTCACAAGTTATTGAAGACAAGCTAGAAATTTTATTTCTTAGAAACTGAGTCATGAATTACAAAAGCTTTTCTGAAGAATAACCTTTCAGTGGTTCTTGATATTAAGAAGTCAGAACTATGCTTTACTTATCTAATATAATCTTCTCAGAGAAGGTGATTGTTACAGCCAAGTACCCTGTAGTAATAGCCTTGCTATTGGCATTCCATATGCTGGAAATGAAGTTACACCATTAACTGCCTATCCAGTTCTAATTCTATTCCTATTAATAAATTGAGATTTTAGGATGGAAA